GAGATTGAGTCGAATGGGACACCAAATACAGGGGAATAAGAGTGAATATGAAGATCTGAGAAAGCGACTAGAAGAGAAATTGCAGCAAACACACGGACGCTTCCTGCAGACGTTGGGCAAGTTGGCCAAGATTAACGACTACGCGACCTTCGTCCTGTTTGGGATGAACATGGACCCAACATTTTCAGCCACTGCGGACCTTATGGTTAAAACCATAATCTTAACGTGGAAGATGAAGGGGCAGTTTCCAACGGTTGCAGAAAATGACCAGATAAGAAATGTATACTGGTCCCTGCCATTCGCGTATATTACCCATCTGCAGGGATTTGGACGGCCAGTTCTAGAAGAAACCGAACCAGAATCACACTGCACGATGGATGACTTCCTCAGGGATGCCATTGAATTGGACGCCTCGTACAGCCAGTGAGTGTCAGCCCCATCCCCCCAGAGTCGGACGGTCGGGTGGAAATGAGTCTGCCATTTGCTGATTACAGTAAGTAAAGCTTTTATTCAGTTAATGTAGCACTGGACTGTTTATGGTAAATATTTTTCAATAGTATTTTTATATACATACATCCGCTTGGATGGAAACCAAACTATTTTAAATATTTCCCTTTGAAATAAAATTGGAGGCACGGTACTAAATCTTTTGTGTGTGACGTTTTTCATCAAATAATTCTAATTTTCCGACAACTGTTTTGATAGCATTGGAAAATCAAATAGAACATTTATATCGTTAGTAGGATTAATTTTTTGTATATATTAAAATAGGACGATTTCTTGATTTTAATAAGGTGTTTATTTTATTTCTTGTGAATTATCGTATGTAAAGAGAAAAACTCATAAAAATATAAAATACATTGCCAAAACAATGCTATGCTATGCCCTGGCTTATCGGTATGCTACCACATAGACATTACATATGGTTGGACCATCCTAAAATTAATTCACTACATAAGGAGAGTAATAAAATTAATAGAATTGATAGATAATTAAATATTTGGGAAAATTAAATACTCATAGTTGTGTATTTTCTTTATTCGGATATTTCCAAACCAAAGATTTGTAGAAATAATTTTAAATTAATTCCTTTGTCAGACAATGTGTACATAATTAAGTCGTGGTCTGTCAACTTAAACTACCTTGTAATTTAAAGGGCCTATAGAGATTGTAAACTTAAAACAGAAAATTTTGTTATGCACTAAACTTATTTACTTTTAGACTATAAACTTTGAGATTTTTCGAATATTCCCTAAGAGATTACCACATTAGTCTTAGTGTAGCTAAAAATTGTATTTACGTTTTGTCTACAGCTCAACTAGTTGTAACTTCCGTGACGTTGTAACTTACAATATTTGTCTTTGGTGTCAATATATTTGGTTGAAATCTTTTAAATTGTGGATGAAATTCTAAAATTCTATTGTGGATGTTTTTTCTCTTTGTTTTCTTCTTTGATACTTATTTCATTTGGTAATACATTTTTTTTATGTTTGCCAGGTTCGGAGAAGGTCGCCGACTTCATTACCACCTGCGATGTGTTCGGAGATTTCCATCACCACCAAACTTCATCGTCAATCCACAATACATTTGAAGCGAGCCTTTTTAACTTGTCAACACCAAAAAAAAAAAACACCTGAATCAGTTCGAATAAATAATAACTTCATTTTTCTTGTACTCGATGGGAAAGTTCACTCCCGTCCACTTCAGGAAAATCCGAACCGGATGGAATAGAAGATGTACATCCATATCATCTTGTTCTTGGACAGGGAAGTCACTCCTTTTTCTTCAATTTCCTTCTCGTCCAATTAGTTTGAGTATACAGCTCTTAAAATGTGAATTTTGTTTACAACAACTTCTTGAAGAAAAAACTTGTTAGTACAAACGACTATATTTGAAGCGAGTCAATGTAGTTTTATCTATAACTTTATTCTTAAATATGTGTATTTATATTTTTCCCATTAAATAAATAATATGTTTTCACTAAAGTATTTATATTTTATGCATTTTTCACCTTCGAAAATTCATCATTATATTGTTTACTGTGCAAAAATAACGTTTCTCGTCCACAATTATTCTTAATATCTGCTTATTATTCCGTCACAAGTAAACATTTTAATAGTCTCGTATAGTGTTTTAATTTGAAACAACCATAACTAAGTACAATCAATAAAAGTTTGGACCCTAAGAAGATTAAACCTAAAAATGTTATTAATTTTGAATTGTTCCTAAATGTTATAGATATTCCAATGTCTGTTTAAATCTTTTATAATTGTTATCAGACTTAGTAGTCTAGCAAAAAGTGATATATTTTTCCATCCTTATTTTACTGTTGTCGCTGATGTTTTTTTTCATCTTCCGTCTTTGTATATTATGTGATAGTTAATTATTGATATCATTATTTTGGCTGCAAACTGATATCACCATTGATAGAATGTCATAAATTTTTTTTGTTTTATAATGAACGTTGATGTGTGTTTAGGAAAAATATCTTATATTGGTTTTTTGTAAATAACATTTTTATTGTAAATGATATTGTATCATATATATTTGTGAACTATTTTATATTTAAGTTGTACAAATCTGTTTTCAACCTGTAACTTTGACAAATTATAATTTAGTAATAGTCATTTGTAGAATATTTGTTGAAAACCTACATTGTGTATATTTCAAATTGTCCTCGAAGTCAGTTGTACAATAGTTGTTTACAGTCTGTACCTGTGTTTGAGTGTATGTGTAGGACTAAAATACATTTGCAAATAAACGTTTACAGTTATTAAAATATTTTGAAACTTATTATTGTGTATTCCTTGGCCGGTGTCTAGTAGTAAATGTGCACTAATTGATCTATAATCCTCATGATAGTATTTGAATAAAATCACACATTTAGTGGGTAAAACAACTCTTTTACATAATTTTATCGTAATTAAAAGCTGTTATGAACTTAAAAATAACAAGAAATGGCTTAAATTTTATAGTTTTGAATAGTATTCTGAATTATTGATCTATCAGAAAATCTATTCAGAGGATTCTATAACTATATCGCTATAAAACATTACTACTCACTCTAATACCAAGAACTCAGGCCAGCAACTTACCTGTAACAACGAAACATATTATTATCACAGAATTCAGCAATACAAAGTCAGATTTACAACAGTTGTGACAATCTTTTGTTCTTCCATATTCAATATAGCATAACTGAGAGGCAGACTGCACTACATTGTTTTGCAGTGATCGACTCGGGTGCACACACTCTGACACTCCGGTTGTCTCAGTTTGCGATTGATAGGTGTTTGGGATCTCCGATATTTTTTCCGTCTCACATGTGGTCTATCCGACCATCGATTTCCCAATACAATGACACTCTCCGTTTTTGACTCATCGTGTGGACTCGGAAAAAAACCCGACACACACACACACACGCACACACACACACACACACACACACACACCCACACATACAATGTGCGTCTTTTAGTTTAATTAAATAGAACGTTCCAAAATAAGTTTTTACTTCCTTTGTTCTTTTTCGGAATATTACCACCAACAATGATATGAAAACACACCTAAAGGATGGATGAGTATGTAATGAAAAGTTCAACGGATCAGAGTATTTGAGTTTTATTTCATTATTCAATTTACATGGTACATTGGTTATACAATTGGTTCATCGATTGTAAACGACGTTCTTCCTGTGCCGTGATACCGTTTTTCGCCGCTTCTGAAAAGGCGATCAGAGACGGTAGAATCTGGTAGTTGATCCAGTCGGCGCTAAGTTTAGGTTTCGGTTGAGGTCTGGCTGTGCGGCACGCACCGACAGCGACTTCCTGTTGAGCTCGGTCGGTGGCGTTTGATATTTCGGACTTGATAGTTTCGTCTTTCGTCACGGTATCGCTATTAGTGAGCATGCTGCGCAGCAACAATTGCATCATTCCAGCCTCGTTGATGAACAGCGCTCTTGAATTGACTGGGTACAGACGGTAGGCGTCTCCGTATCTGGTCCGCGACATGTCCAACACCTCTGGGAACGTTCGCACGAACGACGGGTGAACGAAACGTTCGATCGCTGACTTGTAGTTCTTGTATCCGAGTGCTTTTGCGAATTCATCGGCCTTGAGCCACACGTGCACTCTGGAATCGTACACGACGTCAATCTTGTGGTTCATGAAATTCATTTTCTTCGGGAATATATTCGCTTCGGTGTCTCCGATGACGCAGAGCTGAGATTTGTCTTCGATCTCCAACAGTTTAGCGAATTGAGGTGTCGCTAGGGACTTCTTTTTCTTTGTAGTGGTGGAAGTGTTGCTGACATCACTCCCGACGTCGTCGTTGGAATCGTCCTCGCTGTCGTGGTCCGCGTCTTGTGCCACAGCTTTTTGGCGGGTGTACGTCTTGTTGTCGGCTGCAGTCTCTTGAATTGTCCTATTTCGTTTTCTGGTGGATCCGTTTTCTTCCACGCCCTCGTCGTTCTTCCTTTTGTGCGAGGACAACGGTTTCGTGATGCACGTATCGTCTGGCCGCTGTGCTGTGTCGATATCGCTCTTCTTGCGCGGCTTCTGGTCTGCCATGTCTGTGGTTCTGTGACTGCTGGTGGGCAATTAACAGTAGGCCGACGACGAACAGACTTATATGTAGACACGGGTGTTGAACGATTCGACTCATTACTCTCGACGTGCAGGAAAATCGGCAACTCGGCCCCGGGAGCAACTCGTGACGGTCGACCAACCTTCCGTCGAATCGGGCTACCTAATGCACCGAACGCGTGTACATAGATTCTGTGTGGCTATTCCAAACCACTAAGTAAAAGAAAAACAACACAATATCTTGTTGTAGCGGCGTTTCGGGTCAAAGCCGATGATACATACAACAAGGGTTTGTTAAAACCCATGTGGAATATTTTAGGGTTACCAAGGCAAAAGACCAAAAACGACATTTTACCTAGACATTTTATTTTTATTCCTCCGAGAGTCTGATCGAACAATCGTCCACTCTCCTAGCCGTCACCATTCAAACCCCAATACTTCGGCGTACACCTTTCCTCTGACATCACAGCCGACGGTCTTGACGCGGCGCTTCTGTTTGTAGCGTTCGAACAGCGAGGGACAATCTAGATCTCTACACGAGGCGGTCGCCACCGCGTCTCTCTTCTTGCACTCCAAACACCCTTTTGCCAGACGTGTGCAAATGTCTTCTATATCCCTAATGTCTTTTTCAATCTCATTCGCGTTGGCCAGTTGTGTTTCGGTCGAACGTCCGAAGAACGAGGTGATGCGTCTGTTGTTCGGCGGAGCCACATCGTGTTTGGTATTCTTGCGCGGTCTTTTGGTCTGTCCTTTGTGTGTTAGCTTCTTACTCGGTCTTACTGGAAAACGAGAGTCGTTCGCGGAGGGCCAAAGCGTGTCTTTTATCTCCTCCTTCGTCGAATCCGGCATCACTATCGAGAGCACGTTGACCAGGGGGTTCAGGAGTTGGTTGTCTGCGTAGTACACGTAATCTATGGCGAGCCCGTTCTCGAGCACGTACAGTGGGTCCTCGGCCCTGTCAAACATTTTCCTAGACTCGCCGTCCGGTGATTCGATCACTATATACTGTATACGGTCGCCCAGACGAGGTGCCTTGCCCGGATTCCTTTCCGCCAACTTCTGTGCCAAACGGTCGTGCGGCGTGGGATTTTTCGTTCTCTTGCTCCACTCCTTGGAGATGATCAAATCTCGAAAGCTCATGTCACCGTTTAGCAGGCGGACGATTTCTTGCCTCAACTCGTCCAACACTCTGTCCGGTGGTACCATGGCCATTATCATATCGATTGTTTTCTGCAGTGTGTTTTTTGCAAAAAGACAGTTGTCGCGTCTGACCACTTCGAGCCCTTTGCAAGTAATATGTTTTTCGGCTGTTTCCAACGCCTTCTGTGCCGCCTCCACACCTCGTTCGGCGGCCACGGTTTGCACACTCTCCAAGGACTTGTACACACCCGCCGCATAGCGTTTCTTGTTGGCCAAAAGAAACGGCAGGTATACGGTTTCAAACTGCAACCTGATCGGTGGCCGGTCGATCAGGCGTGTCACGGCGTGGGCCATCTGGTTGCCGGCGTCCGTGCAGTCCCACAGTTGTTTCTTATGCTCGGCGGTCCAACCAACCAGGTGTACCATCACCGAGTCCGTGTCCCCGTACACCACTTGTCTGTCGGGATACTCCTTTTCGATGAACTCTTTCGTAGCAACGATCATCGCTCTGCCGTACGCCGTGACGCTAGAAGGGATTTGCAGAAAGTACAGCTTGCCCTTTTGACACCCGGTCGCACCGTAAATCGAGTTGGCCGCCACTTTCAGTGCTCCCTGCTGTCCGTTCAGCAGCATGTATTCGATGGAATCGTGACTCAATCCGACCATGCGTTTGCGCACTTCGGCTCTGGTCCGCAGTAGTGTTTCCAGGATGTCGGGTAGCACGCCCCTCTTTTGTTTGTGGGTCAAAAAGTAGTGGCCGACGGGTGAACGGAACGCCGCGCCCCTGTTGAACAGAATCTCTCCCTTTTTTCTATTCAACACCATGGTGCTGTAACAGAGGTTGTACGCTATCATTATCGAGGGATACAGGGAGGCGTAGTCCAAACAGACGATGGGATCGTGGTAGAGTCCACGTTTGGGTTCTATGACGACCGCCCCGTCGTACTTGGTGTTTTTCGTCTTTCCACCACGGTCCTCGCCCTCTTCCTTCTCGGAAGAAGCGCCGTCTTCTTCGTCGTCTTCGTTTTCGTCAGTGCAGTCCGGTTCTGCCGGTATCTCTCCTCCGCGTCTTTTCACGCACCGTTTCGCGTTCGAAACATGCAGTGCGTCGCACTCGTACAAAAGTTCCTTCATGTCCGATTTCACGTTGTTGTAGAACACTTCGTTTGGTGTTGTACAGTCGTCGATCAACGTCCTGCGTTGCGAACACCATTTCAACAACATGGACGTTATGCGCACTTGTTGTCCGCGGTCCAGTAGGTACTCCAGTGTCGTGTTGAACACCTTACAGCGTTCGAACGTGGTGACGAACGCTTGTATGTGGAACACGATGTCCATCACGAGTTGTGCGTCTTTCACACAATAACGTCCCAGAATCGCGCGACTCCGCGGACCGGCTGCGAACAGAGAAGGAATCTGAGTGTAGTGGACGTCTTCTTTTCTCGATTTCAAAAAGTGTTCGGACACCGCGTTCAGCGTGTAGGAGCGCAACGAGAACTCTTTGCGCACGAAAACGCAGGTGTCGAACACCGTACGCCCGTGTATTTTCGTGAAGTTGGATTTGGGCGTGTAAGAAGCGTACTTCCTACCGCCGCCTCCTTTTTCCGTGTTGGCGACACAAGACGACCTCAGTCCCAACCGCCCGAGCACGGGTGGAATCTGGTGATGTGACAGGCGGGCGAAGATAAAAGGCAAGTCGAAGTTCTCTATATAGTATCCGGTCACGATGTCCGGATCTTGGTCCACAAAGTCAGAACAAAACGCCTCCAACATTTCTCGTTCGCTGTCAAAACACTTTAGCGTCGTCGTTTCATCCAGCTCTTCACACCGGTCCACTGTGTAAAGGCGCCTCTCTGTTCTCGTGTTGTGTTGCGGACGGTTCAAGGCGTCCGACACGGTCACCGTGGCTATCTGAATGACGCTGCAGACATCGGGTGTGGGGAACACGTTCACGTCGTTAGCCAGACACTCTATGTCAAAAGACATCACGGACACGGTTGGCGGCAGTTTGTCCGACAGATCATCCGTCGCCTCCGCAAACGGCAGTTTGTTGTATTCGATCCGTCCTTCTGTCTTCAAGAATCTGTCATCGATGTGCTCCAAAAAGTCGTAAGTGAAACGGTGAATCGCTTTTCGTGATGATGACATCGCCACCGTTGTTTTGCACCCCGAAGTGTCCAACCAACCCCATCGGCAGGGCCTGAGCTTCAGTCTCTCTGCCGTTCTCACGTTCGCGTCCAAGGAGCTTTCGTAAAAGTGCACGTGTCTCTTTAGGCACGCCGGGCCGGTGTACTCCCCCTCTTTTGCAGCAGTCTCGCGCGCGATACGCAGGATTTCACCGATCGCCGGGCGGATGTGACCAAAAGACCTCACGCAGACGCGGTAAGTGAATCTCAACGATGTATCGCCCACACGTTGTGTTGTATGATGGTCATCGGACATGATGAGAGAATCGTAGTCCTCGGCCACCTCTATACCCTTGATGTGTGAGAACTGAGTTTGAGGTTTCGCGTCTAAAGATTTTTCACTAGTGTCCCCATCGGTGTTCGACAGGTGCTCGGCGTACTGTCGTAGGCGTTCTTGAATGAGTTTGAGGTTTCGCCTGCAGATGTCACGATTTAAGAACGAGATGAAAAAATCCGGCTGGTAGTTAAACAATTCCACAACGACCGTCTCGCCGGCTTCGTTTTTGCCAAACACGCGAACAGTGCAAGTGGCTTTCGACGGGTCGCGTTTCTGCGTACCACTCCGCCCACCGAAGTCATCGTCTATTTCGCATTTGAGAAAGTAAAACGGAATCTTTTCCCCTCTGTCTCTCTGATGCTGCATAGGTGATTCCATCTCGGTTGCGAGTGATACACGTGGTCGAGTTGTGATAAGTGTCGACTCGACCACCCCCCTCCATCTATATCCACTAGTCCCCCAATCGGGATCATTCGTCGAGGTGAATTGGTTGAAACAACATCACTCACAACCCCCCTCCCCCTTCCGATATCCACCACTTACAGACTATGTCAATTCAGTTTTCCAAATAACACGTCAAGATTCTAACGCTTCGACACAACTCGGGACTAATGGATCTTGCAATCACATCTGCTAACTCGGCTGAATCCACTACTGACGTCACCACAAACGACCATGGCGATTATATCGCTATGAGTTTTAAACCGAAACCCAAATTGAGCACCTTCAAAGAAGACCACACCGCGTTCGAGTATGGAGACTACAGTGTACCACCACCGGCGTTGCCGGTGAATCGACCTCCACAATCGCCTTTGGTGGGCGGTCAGAGGCCTCCTCAGAGAAATGCCACGCCGAGCAACGTTTTGGATGAACTGAAAAGCATGTTTTCCACAGGAGAACGGCCAACGAGTGCGGTTTTCAAAAAGCACACACGGCCCAGTGAAGAAAGTCTCATCAGATACACGTCGAATGAGAACAACACACGACATAACATGGTGACTTGTCCACCTGTTTTCACCACCACCAACGCCTCAGCATTTCACGGAGTCCACCTTGGGAACCGATCACCGGTCACTTCGGGGGTGGCTGCGACGTTGGTAACTTCTACACCTACCACCTTCTTCGGCACGTGCAGATCCACACCGGGACAGTTCAATCCGTACCAAGACCTGCGGTACGCCGAAAGAGTGGTGAACACGAACCCGATCGTCGAAAAAACCCTGGACGAGATGAAAAGAACGTTGAACATGCTAGTCATCGACGTGCAATCGCAGAGAAAGAAGATCGAGGAGATTTGGAGGTCGGCGGAGAGTGCCGGTGAGTTTGCCGCGTCAAGGTCTCGTCCTCTGTCTCTGACGCCACCGTCATCCAAATCCAAACCGTTGTTGAGTCATTGCTACGGCAGGTGCGTGTTTCCGTCTTGTTCTTCATTGTGTTACACGGTCAACGATGGCGGTAAAGCAGACGCCTCGTCAAACAAGAACGACAGACGAGTCTCTTTTGGCGAAACATCTCATCGAGTTGACGTGGTGAAGCGAGGCTGTTCCAAAAAGAAACGCCGTTTTCTTTGCTTCTAATTTTTGGTTTACCCTTTTTCCATGTATTCCATAATGCGCGTCTAATAAAGACCTGTGATTTCAATATCTATCTGTTTTCATTCCATCCCATGATTCCAAAAACGTTTTGGAGGACGCTTGCATACATCGTTTGAGGTCACGTCTCGACGTGAGATGGGTACGAGCGTAGGACGTAAACCGTGCGGTCAGCGACCTCTTTCGGCAAGTTGCGGCCGTCCGTTTCGCCGGGTTTGTAAAAGAATCTGGGCCCCTCACCTTTTTCCACCGCCTGCACGGTTTGGTCATTTGTATCTCCGACACGCACGACGTCACCGTTCAAATTGAAATACGGTTTTAATTGGATCAGCGAATAGTGACTGGAGCCGTGCGAGGTCATATAGAATTCAGTTCCGACGACAAACCGCATGTGCACGTAGAACGCGTACACGAGACGCGTCAACATGCTCATATTCACCGCGCGTCTTAGACTCTCAAAAGCTTCACCCTCGACATTTATTTTCACCACGCGCAGCATGTGTTTGATCAAAAGTTCACGAAACGGCAGCGACTCGTCTAACCGCTTCAACACGTACACGTTGTCGATACGTCGTCTGAACGCGGCGTCGATGTCCTTCTGCTCGGCGCCCGTGCTGAATATCAACGCGAAACGACTCAGCCGTCTGTCTTTGTTGAAAACGTCCATTATCTGCAGCATCGTGGTTTTGATCACGTTCAAATAGTCTTCGCCACCCGAATCGCTCCGTTGACTCATGAGTATTTCTATGTCATCCATCCAGAGCACATGGAAGAACCGACCGTCGGAAGCGTTGTCGCGCGCCCGGTCCACCATCCAAGACATAATCCGTTCGAAGTTGTTTTCGGTCTCACCTCTCCACCTGCTGAGTAGTCCGCTGTAATCGACGCGATACACACGAACGCCGTCCACCGCTTCGTACAACGAGGCCAAATAAGACTGAGTCACCTGTCGTGCCAAGGCGGCGTCACCCGGTACCGAAATGAGCTTGATGTCGCGCACATTGTTGGGCGAAAGACGATTTTCAAGGTTGTTTGCGCGAACGGCGTCCTTGTTGCAGCTGGCACGTAATATTTCGAGAGACTGTGCGAGTTCCACAATCCTCTCGTCCACATTTTTTTCTGTGTTCAGTACATCTGTAATCAGGTCCGCTTGATCTGCGTCGGTCGCGTATGCCAACACCCCTTTTGGCAATGCACCCGAATCCGGGGTGGTGTCTGAACCACTACGCCCTGCTAATGAGTCGAATTCCGACTCGTAAAGTTCGATCGCTTTCTCTTCCCTTGGCACACCATCGTCTGTGTCAGACAATGCCACGTACGATCTGTGTATTGCGTCTACAGTCAAAAGTTCGTCGAAAGTGACACGACACTGGTCCATACGATACTCTAACCTCTTTAGAATATCGATCAATGTGGTGGTTTCGATAAAAAATGCACTGTATATGTCGCTATCATCCGTCTGTCGTACCATGCTCACCATCTGGTGGGTCAGCACCGTCACGTCAAACACATACATACACCACACCAGGGCCCTTTCGTACTGACGAGTGGGTATCAGTTCTCCGTTGATCAAATTGTACGCTTCTAGGATTTTTTCGCTGTATGTTCGCAACCATTTCGCGAACCACGACAGCAACCCTTTCTCGCCATACCAAGACGACTCTCGTTGCGTCGCGTCCGCCATCCATTACCTATGCGGATGACTTACCAATATGTCCACATTGTAACAAAGTGACAAATCGTAAACTCTTTTATTCATTTGTATGTTTACTTTAATATATCGTGTCTGTCGTGACGAACTCGCTGGGTTTGATAAGTCACAGACATTAGATATGAATACAACACCTTTGATGGCACTAGAGGAGCGACTCGCTAAACTGGGGATGGATCCCGCTCCACAGAGTAGGTTCTGTCGTGTGTGCTGTGCCTATGTTGAGCTCTCCTATTGGCCCGAACATGAAATTTCTGAAGGGCAAAGTTGTCCGTCAGCCGAGCTGAGATTAAATGGGGACGGCCCCCCTCCAGCCGGTGTACCTTGGTGGAAACGTTCTAGGTACGACAACATCAAACTTTGGACACCCTGATCCACTTTGACAAAACACTTCCACTAATGGTAATCCTGACCGATCGTTCTTTTAGGAACTTCATCGGCAATCCTATTCAATTGATCGGATAACCCTCTTCGGTTGAAACCTGTCGCGAGGTATGGCAAGAAGTTCAATTGAATGAATCAACACAGGTAGCTTATTAAATATTTATTTGATATAATTTATTTGTTAACATGTTAATTAATTACTAATCATACTCCCGACTCATTATTCCATGAAGGATTTCATCGGTGTCCCGATCGATTGGATGTTGAAGCCCGTAAATGTGTGTATACCATTTATTAGATTTAATATATTTGTTAACACACTACTTGTGCTATATTGACTTGTGAAAATATTCACAACAACTGTGACCGATCGGTTTCCCGATACAAAATAAGATGTTTTTTAAAAAACACGAGACTATCTGAGTGAGTGTCAATTTGACACACACTCAGACAGTCTCGTGTTTTCTTTTATTTATTTTTATTCTTTATATACAACATTTAAAGTAAAAACATGGTGTGTATATACATTTTCTACAACTATTAAAAATATGCACACAATTTATAAATATCATACAAAACCTATTATTATTGACATTAAAATTCGAAACTTAGTTGATAAGAAGAGAACTGTCATTAAAGATAATAACAAAAAACATAAAGCAGCTGGCCGTACTATTGGAGTCGACGGGGGGGGGGGGGGGTTGGGGGCGCGCGTTATCCCTAGTCATCGCACGGGACGAGCTTGAAAAATGTTATAAACCACGGGCGGCGCTTTCTTGCAACACATATGTAAAAGTCCTCCAGCTGTTCCTCGAGTGGCCAGTTATTTTGGAATCCAATTAAAGTAATTCCTAGATGGAAGTGGATGTTGGTGGGGAAGAGGCGCTCCACGGCAACCATGGTGTCCAGGCGGTGGTAGATGATGGGGTGGTTTGTGGTGACCACCTCACGTAGTCGCTCTTCCCTGTAGGGGGTGATCTCTATGATTGACGGTCCACCGTCTTGTGACACTACCTCCTTCGGCCTCACCACCAGCATGTTGACGATGATCCGTCTGATCCGTCCGGAGTGCCTCTTCCCGCCCCTCATCTGTCCGATGATGGCATAACAACTGTCCACCTCTACTTTAAGGTGGTCATCATTTGTTGGTGACCCAACCTCAAATCGATAATATTCACCTAGTCGTGACATTGTAGAATAAAAACTTAAATTCTAAATGAAAACTTAAATTAAATAATAAAAAAAACTTTAAAATACTTGAAAAACTTCTAATTATGTAAAAACACTGTGCTGTGTGTCCACACTGACTGCTAAGTATCGACTGACGTCACCTGCCAGACCGCTCCGTATTTATAGCCTCTTGGATAAGGGGGGAGGGGAGGGGAGGATTTCAAGCGATCCACTAATCGTATCCCCGACTGATTATTCTGTGGAAGATTTCATCGGCGTCCCGATTGATCGGAGAACCCTCTTTGGTTGAAACACGCAAAGGTGTATATATATATATATACTATATGTAGGATTTAATTTCTTTGTTAACACGCTACTTGTGCTACATTGACTTGTGAAAGAAAAACACCACAATTGTGATCGATCGGTTTCCCGATGTAAAATAAGATGTTTTTTAAAAAACAGGAGACTATCCGAGTGAGTGTCGATTTGACACCCATTCGGATAGCCTCGTGTCTTTT